AATTCGGTCAGTGTTTTAACCTTTTCATTCATATGATACTGAACGATATGCTCTGATTGCTCACAATATAAACAATAGTTTTGTATTTAGTTTTTTTTTTCTGATGTGCTTGTTTACAACATAGTAAATATCAAATTTTATTTCCTTTAGGTAAATATCTCAAGATTCAAGATATAAACTACTTATCTGAATAAAATCAATACAATGGTTTCTATGCAATCTGTTCTACTTCACGTATACTATTGATCTTGATATATTTGATAAAAATACTGCTTAAATGACATTTTGTCAAATTTATTGCACATTTGATTCTTTATTTTAAAGAAAAGGATTATTTTATTGCATTTATTACCTTATTATTTTATTTTTCATCAGCAAAAAAAAAAAAACAAAAACAAAAACAAAAACAAAACAAAAAAAATCTATTTCCACCCCTTTCGACAGAGTAGTTTTCTGGAACATTATACCATTACATAATTTTTTTTTCAATGCAAACCACATTTATTGAACCATTATGATGTATTGTGCTTTATTGGTATTAAAAAGAAAAAGAAAACATTTTTTTAATTTTTTTTTTTTTGGGGGGGGGGATATATGACTAATAAATCGACCTTGAATTAAAAGGGAAGATAAAAAACATGTTTGTTGAATCAAGTGCAATGGGGCATTCTTTTTTATTAAGCTACTTTCGACTATATTTTGGACGTTTATTTCTTCGAGTCAATTCTTTTGTAAATTTGATTCCTGTTGTGGATATCCCCGCTTTAAACAGGAATTGTGTTCGTAATTGGCCTGGAATGAAATAGTACCATCATTATGTGATGTTATGTCATCTCAGAAAAAAACTTTTATGTTTTCATGATTCACTGTTGAGAAAATTTCGACTTCGAAACGATCACTTTATATAAAAGCACATAACTTCATTATGTAATTTATAGCACAGCACTTTGCTTGTGTAATATGTCCCTTGAATAGGGGTATGTAAAGTACAAATTCAAATATAAAATCGTTTTCTTAAGTATACTAATGTGATGTGAATAATTCCGTTTTTATTTATGTCCTTTGTAGGTTTTGTCGTGGTCAATGTAGAGTCTGGATACTTTTAGAACAGAATGTAAAAAATATTTTAACTTGATGCATTTGTAATATACAAAAAAAGATGAAAACACATATGTAGCGATATGTGACTTGTTTGCATGCTTTTGATACTTCCATACGATACTTCAGAAACAAAACTAATAATATTACCAATTAATTAAGGTTAATTACAAAATATAAGAATGTTCAACGAGATTTTAAATAGTTGAATCTTTAAGCTAAATAGATTTAAATACAGTAACGATTTTTAAAAAGGTATTTGTAAAAAATCAAAAGATGTTCTTCCAAAAAATGTCTTCGAAAATCATTTAGAGGAGAGGAAGTAAAAACTCCGTCTTAGTCTGTAGTGAATGTAATGCCTTTGATATTGATTTTTCTAAATTATTCAGGACGTAAACACAGCTGCATTATGCCAAGCAGGAGTGGTACATACAGTAATGCCACTCCAAGTGGTAGCTTCCTTGTTGAAAGAGTTACAAGAAGAAAACATTAACTTCTTCTATAGATCAGCAAAATCATGCATCATTTGTAACAAGGTTATTTGCTGTAGACTAAATACTACTTAAAGAACTGACTTATGTCTACCAGAACGATAGATTGAAAAGTATTACGGAGGCTTTTATTTGTGCACTGTCCCTCCAGAAATCTCAAAAGAATATTGAATACTTAATCAAAATTAACAATTCAAATCTTGGAGAGGATGTTTTTCAACCCAAATCACAATCTTTGTATCTGTAATTTATCAATTCTTCCGATGTTTGCATTGCTCTCCTTGATGCACTTTTAAAATTTTAATACGATTGAAGGTTTAGTTCTGCTAACATCATTTAATATTGTTTGGATTTTTTCATAGAGCTCTAAACCTTGACTTTTTTTATACCATTGAAATTGAAGCAGCCAAAGAAATATGCTAAATTATTTTGAAAAAAAACCCATTCTGATTGTACACACAAGTACTCCAAAGTTGATACTAAAGATGCTTGATTTTCTAATTGGCAATATCCATGTAGTTTTTGGAGATCAAGCCTTCCAAAAACCTATCGGAATTTACATGGGTAGTAATTGTGCCCTGTTATTTGTAGACCGATTTTTGCATTCATATGAAGCAGAATTTATTCAAAACTCGTACATGAACAGAAGAAGTCTGTTGCTGTGGCCTTCAATTCAACATTTAGATATATAGGCTATGTTTTATCAAATAACAATATTCATTGTAATTGCAACGTTGATTTGATATATACCCCTGAACTAGAAATAAATGATACCACAGAGTCCGACACATCTGTTTCATATTTAGATATTTTACCAGAAAAGGTTGTAAATGGCATCCTTGCAACAAAACTTAATAATACGCAGCAGTATACCCTTCATCATAAAGAAATAATTACTCAAATATACACCTTCTAGGTTTTCCTTAGTCATAAGCTGTTGTGAGTGTTTTTGATAATTCATGATACAGGTAATGGAATAGCTGAAAAGTATGTGAAGTATTGGTGATAAAAAAGGTTTAATTATCATATGTATTTAAATTACTGTTGTCAGATGGGGCGTTTTCATTTCATTTGTGAAAAATTATCGTGAAAAGAACATATTCATGTTTTAACGACTAATATGACAACATTTAAATAAATAAAAAATATAAATATTGTAATTTTATACATAATATAATTGACTGTGAATCTTTTGCAGAAATATTGAGATAGGTATTAAAAGGTGATGAATGAAGGATAATGTAGATCTGATCATTCTCTTACACGGTTATATATGTACGACGCTATGCTTACAAAATATTTAACCCATACGAAAAATTATTTAAAATCTTAAGCACTGTATAAATTGAGGTATGTTTTCTCGCATTTTACATAAAAATCATTTCGCCAAAAAACTAATTAAAATGAATGAGAACTGGTGTAATCATTAAGATGAATTTATAAGATATTGAACAGTGTTCATGCTCAAAAGTACTTTTAAACAATACAAATTGTGAGCAGAGGAAAGAAGTACCTCTGAAAACAGAGGCGGGATCAGGTGCATGTACCACTGAAGATTAAGCATCTCCCGTAGACAGTTGACATCCGCCGTATATTGCTTGTCATATTCCCGTAAACGGAAAAAGAATCATGAAAAATTTAGTGTAAAAATAATAGTCTAACTATTTGTTTGAAAGACTTCAGTCAACATTCAACTAAACGATAGATTGTAATTACAAAATGGTCATTTGATCGACCATAACTTTTGCAAAATGTTGATTTTAAACGATATTGTTGATATCCTTGTATCATCAATTTAACTATCAATATATAGCCTGCCTCGTTTCAAAAATCATTTGTGCGTAGAACATGCTCTTGTTCATCAAATCTTTTAGCGTTTCGAAGAGAATTAAAAACAACTCTGGGTGAATCACAGTTTGCGCTCATATAATTCATACATATTTAGATAGGTAGGAATGTCTGGGTCTTGAATTTGAAATGCAACTAAAAGTGCAAGGTTCAATTATATTTGTTTTTCATGAATACCTAATACGCGACAATTTAAGTTTGCATAACAGCGATCGCACAACATGCCTGCAGATAGTGACATTATTTTGCTAGGCGTTTTTTTTCCCCGATGCTTGATATGAATAGCTAAGATAGCAAATTCTTCTTAGTAACATATTTTGATACAGATTATTTTTGAGCTTTAGAAAAGGAAAAGAATTCGAATGAAAAGTGGACTTGAAATGTCATTTATTTTAGTTTTTAAATATAAAGGACCCCTTTTTGTTATTAATTTTTTTTGTTTTTTTTTTATAGGAGGTAAACAAATGATTTTGCCCTTTCAAAGATTGATCACAGATTTCAAAGATTGAAAATACAATATCTTAAGAAGAAGATCGTCTATCAAAGTTAAGCCATTAATCAGTGCTTGTTTACATCAATTAAGGAATCATGATGATATGGCACCTCATATTGCCATTAGTCTCTAAATCGATGTTAATTGAATGTAAATCATATACGGTACCAATTTTGATGCACCAGATGAGCATTTCGACAAATTATGTCTCTTCAGTGATGATCAAGCCGAAACGTTGGAAATTCAAAATATTTAAAAATTGAACAGCTGAAAAAAGGGGGTGCCAAAGACTGGAGCCAAATACGTGCGAAACTTTACTTATGAAATATGATATATATCAACAGAGAGAATTTTACTAAGTTTTGTTCTAATTTCTAATAAATTTGAATATTTGGGTTATCCTCATCTTTTCACAATTATAATACATACTTCTCTGACATTTAACGGTCGTCATGACTCCATGAGTGTCAATATGCGTTTCATTTTGATGTGTGTAAATAAATAAGATAGTTGACCTACTTATATTTTTTATACATGTGTTACACAAAAATGAAATGTTTGTGGGAAATTAATATGATTCAATGTATACTACTTGTAGGATGCATAAGAAGTAAGGTAGATATAAATTCTAAATAAACTACATATATACCGTATCCAAATTGCTGTCAGCCATTTAACAATGGATTAGAATTTAGTAATAATTTCTATCTAAAACAAATAAAATGTGACAGTTCATGTTCAGTATAATAAATCCCTCGGTTTTGTTTAACACTAGATAAATTCAATATGCTGGCAATTCTTCATGTCTTCAAATGATGAATGATAAAAGTCTCGCATGGTTCTGATGTAATTACCGCAGGTGGAAAACTTTCTTGTCGAAACCCAAATTGCATGTATATTCACACATTTTAATGTGTGTTTTTTTACAACTTCTAAAATACTACTTTTTTATGTGTAACTGAATAAATTTAACGCTTGTAAGAAAAAAAAAAAATATTAGTTTTCATATTTTAATTTGAGCTTTCTCTCATACATAAAAAGAAAAAATACAATGCAAAATTAAGTAAGAAATAAGAAAAAAAATATTATTAATTGGATGACTATTCTGATTTACAAAAACCTTTGAGACTGAATTCATGAACACTTTATAAATTATACACTCATTAAAATTGTGTTTTGTGTTAATATATAATTGTTTATGCACTACAAGAGTTGTGCCTAAATTACACACGAATAATTCGGGGTTTTAATTATAAAAAGTACTTTGATTAAATTAAGTCAATCAATACAATTAATCATAATCACACAAAAACATATTACCCGGTAACATAAATATCTTAAATAATAAATATCAACATTATCCAAATGAATCGATAAAATCGTTGACCCCATCTATAAGAGACATAACAAACCTATAGATCCTGATAGAAGTCCGGGCTAGGAGGCCGATTAACAACAGTAACCCTGTGGCCTCCATAGCCTGGATAGAAATAGACTTTCCTATGAGTGTCCACGACACAAAACTGTCACAGTTATTGTGGAAGACCGAGTACTGTCTCTCCCCCAATCTCCTTCTGGCTTTCTTTACACAGTAACTTCTTTGTCTGAGGGTCTTCGGGTACTTGTCCTTAACGATAAGATAAACTCCAGATTTAAAATCTAAAGTATCAGTGTTGTTTTCAATTTTTACCGTCTCTTCTTTGATTTCAGCCACACCCCGAAACAAAAGAATGCTAGAAATCCTTTTGGGCGCATAGTGTATGATTGTCAGTGATTCTGTGGTGGCAGACACCACCATGTAGTGGTGATTATAGCTGTAGTCAAATTTCCACCACAAAAAATGTAGCGACCGAGGTCTGTGAACCCTGATATGAGACGCTGGCCCCACTAGTCCAATTTGGACTAACTTTTTCATGTCCTCCGCATTCCAAATTCTACGACAGGGACAGTCTTTATCCTTGTAGTCTGAAGCGAAGATAGATTTCCTTGAATAAGTCTTAATCAACATTGAAAAAATTGTAGAATCTTTCCAAACTTAATCTCCGTTCTCTCTGTGCAAAGTCTTTGTTTCTGTTTAAATCGACAACAGGACGTTTTAAATATGCACTGAAAATGTTTATGTTTTTAAGTGCTATAAATAGATATATAACGTCTAGGAATTCCCTTTTAAAGTCACTTTTTTGTTATTAGATTTAAGGAGAGACCAGTGGTCATATTCACATGGATGATTGATCGACACACGGTATTGTCATGGGAATATTTATAGATTTTAAAATATGTTATATCTTTTCTTGGCCTTGGCCTATATTTGAGACGTTTCTCTTTTTATTTTTTGAACACTGAGTGTCTTTTGAAAATATACATTGTCGAGTGAAATATGCATGTTAACAGCTTTTGTATGTGCGCATATCTTAAGTTCAAGATCTAGTAAATGAAAGATGACTACAGATTTCTCAAATTTGACAACAAAAAATCCTTTTATGATGCTTTATAACTTTAGCTTGGTCAAATACGGTGTTTCGGCACATACTTTTTAGATAAACAAGACGAAAAATCATTTTTAACCTGTCATTTTTTCAATGAAAAATCAAGAAAACCAGTCATGAATACGGGAGTTTTTTCCATGCCAGACAAAGGAAATGTATCTAGATTGCCTACAGTCTCTCAGAAAATGGTAATGTTCTTGGTCTCTTCTTTAACATAATATTAAATTGAATATAGGTATAGGGATTACTTTTCAAATGATTTTAAATTGAATTCCATGAAAATACTTCATTTTCTACATAATTCTATCAGAGCCGTAAAGTACGGGAAAAGAAAGTTGAAATTGATTATGACGTCATAATGAATCTAGCACAAAAAAGTTAGTCATTTACTACATCTTGACCTAGAAATAATGCCTACGTGACAAGTCTGTATGATTGACACAATAACTCACACATTTTTTTATATTCCTTATATATACATTTTACATGTTTAAAAGTAGTCAAAATACACTAAATGTTTGAATTTCTCGCTACCCTATATCGTTGGATTTTTACTAATGTCTCTGTAGCATTATTGTGACGTCACTTTAGCGCAAGTTTCTCAATTACGTCGTGCACGATGTTGGTGTCAATTTCGGTAACGTCAAAATGACGTTAGATTACATGACGTTAGAAAATTAATTTGACGTTAAGTTCTTGACCTGCATTTTCTATGAAAGAAAAAATATAAAACCTAGTATGTTATCAAATATACAATGCAGTTCATTGAAAATAATTAAATTCTCTGATATTTTGCATGCTTATTGCGGGAGGGAAATATGTGCATAATTTGCCTCATTTAATGCAAAGCTCGGTAGAAATTACAAAATTCATTTGACATCATATTTAAATTTGTCTGCTTTTTATTTCATTGAGATACACTCAAAACAATTCCATGTCATATCAGCAGGCCCTAGTACCAGCCCTCTGTTTTCAGTATAGTGTAGATATGTTGTTGATTTAGCATTGAATTTAATTTTTTTCATTCAAAGCCCCTATCTCCACCTCACCTTTAACCCCCGCCCTCGCATAGACACTTACATACTGAGTACTTCTTTTTTGTTACAGTAGATCTAACTATTTCTAATAATTCATTTTAAAAAAGGAGAGGAAACAAAACCGATCGCCCCCCCCCCAAACTTTCTCAATGAAAAGGATCTTTCGATGTGGGGGAGTTTTGGAGGTTTTGTATTTATTTAAAAAAATATTTAATTTTTTCCTTAACTCCCCCCCCCCTTTTTATATGCGTTGCAACGTGCCTCACAGATCTGGATAATGATCGTAGGTTCGTACTCCTTGGGATACAGTTTACCTGTTTTATGCGTTTGCATACTTTTTTTTGTTATGCTCATAAATTTTAACAAAGAGTGTTTCGGAGACCGTTTTGTACATACTTTCATCAAGATTCAGATTTGAATCTTTAAACCAAACCTGTAAGTCATGAAGGATAAGACTTTGAACATATTTTTCAGCTCATTTCATATTAGAAGCTTATAAAAAAAAAACTCAGAAAAACTCAGAAATTTATATTATTGTAAATTTAGAATAGGGTACTCAAAGATTTTCAAAAATATTTTATTAATTTTGTCAAATTTCTGCATTTCAATTTCAAGAATGAAAGAATTAAGAATATTAATCGACCAGCTCACTTCAAATTCCTTAAGCGTGTTTTATACCAGTTACCTCTCACTTTTTTGGTAAGTATAGGGTTTTTTAACTAATTTGCTTGTCAGATTTTTGGGGAAGCCCCCTCCACTTTTGAAACCGAGTCTATTAATAGGAGGTGTAACAATATCCCGAGATATAGTAATGCTTTTCGCTTGAAGTCGATTATCGATTATCTGAAATGCCTTCTTTTTTATACGAATGAAAAACGATTAAAAGAATCTACGTCATTTCCTGCTTTACAAAATTGAATTTGTTTCTTTTTGTGTATTCTTATTCTGTATTTGTACGAGTAGATTGCAGAATACATTTACACCTGTCAATAATGAAATGAAATTTTTGAAAAGTTATGTTTTAAAAACTTTTTTAAAGAACAAAATTTGGAAAGTTATACGTATCAATACACATCATGATAAACATGTCAAAATATTGATATATGTATGATAGTTTTGTTTTGTTTTTGTTTTGTTTTGTTTTTTTTGATACTCATATCTTGTTTTCACCTTTTACATCCAAACCGTGGATAAAATAATGAGGTCCATTCGGCAAACCTCGGATGATTCCGTCTTTCATCAAACTATTAAATTATCAAATTAGATGAGGTACATATACGAATCGACCAAGGTGTGCCGAGTTTGATGAAGTCTTTGGGTCCGTTCCTGGGTTTCTGGAAAGGCTGTACAGGGGATTGTATAGAGGGAGTATTCTTTCCCTAAACTAGACTTTGTTTATATAAATGGTTACCATTTTGGTCGGTTTAGATGCATTTGGAAGCATCTTTTTTTTTTTTAAATTTCAAAGAAAAATATGAAACATTACTAAAATAGATAAATAATGAAAAGATGAAAAAATGAAAGTCCAGTTAATTATTTCCAAATATTATCATTATTGAGTTCAAATGAAAAACAAAAAAGATTTGTAATTAAAAGAAATAGCGTAATATACCCCGATCTCGACTTATTCTGTTTCCATGACAACGTCGGCCATTTTGAATGTTGTTTGCATACCTATTCACGGTATCATAATAAAATACAATTTTGTTTTATTTCAAATGCTTCCGGGTTGATGACAAAAAGAAATAATTATCAATATGCTAGTGAAAATATGAAACTTAAGTCAAATCACAACCTCCAACTAACCCTCCACCCCACCCCATCCCACCCCAACCCTTATTCAATATTCGACTACCCAATGTAAAATTCCTTCCAATGCCCCATGTACATGTAGTACGGTTTGCCAGCAGCAAATAGACTTGACACACTTTATTGTCAAGAAATTCATATTTGAAATCGTTATCCTTATATAAATTTTTGAGTATGTGCTTTTTTTTCTTTTCTAAAATTCAAACTGCGAGTGATGAGTACTTTTGGACAGATTCTGACAAGGATATATACTGATACAGTGTATACACTGTACATGTTTTGGTTCTATATATAAAATTAATCATTATTGGTACATTTTTATTTCATCCATATCTGCAAAAAGAGTAAGTTTTTGGATAAAATCATTAAATGTTTTAGATGGTATTTTATGCAAATGCACGTGATAACGTCAAAAACGCCTTATTTTTACGTCTGTGACATAGCATGTTGACATTTATTTTTTGTTAGGATTTTGTCACCATTCTATTAATATTAATTTGGAATATACTAATAACTTTTTGAAGAGATGCACATTTGAGAAAAATCGTTTAATTTTCAATATGTCTATATTTAATGACTACATATATGATTTATCCAACCACAGTTGTGCCATAATAATTAAATTTATTAGTTTTGGACAATGTGTGACATTCAATGTTGACATCGCAGATAGCCTCTAAAACATACACTTCTATCAAGAATCAATTCAATTTTATATCTCATTGAAGTTTTTATTTTGCACATTTTGTATTTAATGATGTATGTGCCAAATTAGAAAAAAAATAATTCTAAAAATGAAAGCAATTTATTGAGTGTTGTATTTAAATGTGACGTTTTTGCCGTCAAATTTCATTGTGATACATAGCTACATGTTGTATACATATGTGACACGGCAATTATTCTTAACATTTACGACATCCCAAGTTACAATTCTGTATAGATATGTTTTTCTTAATAGCATGACAACGTTTTTGTAGAATTTAAAAAAAATATTTTAACATTGATTTTTTACTCAGTATTACAAAATTAGCCATTCTACGGATCTCAAAAACTTTGTGACACTGAACGTACAAACTTTGTGACACACTATCTTATTCAATATCCTCCCAATGAATCTTCTAAATATCAGGTACCCAACATACATATGAACACACAATATCATTCTATTCTTAAAAATAGTTCTCTACACACCAAAAGAATTATCGAGATGTAATTTCAAAATTCATTTAGCTTATTTAATTTTTTTCTAAGAACCCAAATGCATTTCATGTTCATTAGAGGAAGTTTATTAAACTCATTTCTTATTATCAGAAGAAGAAAACTCAATCAAATACATTTTCTCTACGTCACAGTGGCAATAAGATACTTTTTAATATAATTGAGAAGTAGACCATTCATTTTTTATTACTTTGATCAATCTTTTCTTCTAGGGCTCAATTAAAGAAACCCACATTTCCTGTTTCTCTCTTTGACGTGAATTCTTTTTGTTACCATGAGAGTCTTTTTAAGTGACCTCATAACAATATGGTTTGCTGATAATGTGAATAATGACATGTTGATCATGAAGTCTTAAACTTCTAACAGTTATTTTTTTAAAAGAAAACTGAGATACGATGTGTATATCACTTGCTTTGCAGTTAGCTATCCTTATCCCGCTATATAGTAAAGCTTCAGAATGAATATTTTCTTTATTTCATTATAAAACTATACTTCCTTTATATGTATATAACATTTTTATGT